TAAGCAACAAGCCAGGGCAAGCATGACGGTGACACCTTGCAACTTGACTTAAGCTCACCTCGCCTTGACAAGGTGTGCAAGTTGTAAGGTTAGTAGCCATGATCTCACTCCTTATGTGAATTATTTGCATATGTTAGTTATGTCTTATGATCCAACTAGGTTAAAATTGGTTACAATACCTAATAACTTAGATTCTATTGCATGATAATAGATTATGTACCCTAAAACCTGAAGTGGTACTTGACAAGGTGGTAGAGCAGGTAGAGCCTTGACTGAGATCGACCCTTCTCAAATTTCATATAAGGAAAGGCACACTAAGAACAAGTGTTGGAATAAGTGGATACCATGACACTATAATCTATGATCTAGGCCACTAGGGTAAACTAGGGTAACATAAAAAGTGTGGACAATGTCAGAATATCTTGGACATGGAGAGTATAGAGATTTATGCCATGAAGCCTTGTAACTAATTGTTTAATTTTAACAATAAATTTGATTATTTTATTTAAAATTTAATATTATTCATGGTATGAAAAGTCCTAGATCATTGATATAATTTTAAGCAATATATGATTGACATACAACAGGAGCATGTTTAAGAAAACCTAAAGGGTCTTATATGGATAAGGTTTGGTCCCTCATTCTGATAACATAATTGATATGACTCAGTTTGTAATTGTTACAAATGATTATACCTAAATCGTTTATGTTGACACGTGTGAGTGGGTGTATCCTATACTGCAAAGAGTTTGTATAAGATCGGACCACGAAAATATTTTATCTCTCTCTACAAATTGATTAATCGAGAAAATTAATATTTTATAGGATGACCATATGCGACTCAATCTTAATCCTAAGTGTATCCTATACTCTCTCACCGACCCTAGAGACTTGGTTAATGGTTGGATCATAAATAAATTGTTCATGAGAGAGTTAGTGGCACTTAAGGCATAAGATATTACGAATAACTCGTGATTGCTTGTAATGATTATATATCAATGGCCAAAACTTGTTCTACAATATATAAGATTGCAACAATAGGTCTACAATGGGGTCAAAACTTGTTCTACCATATATAAGATTGCAACACTAGGTCTACAATGGAGTGACCTATAGTTAATGAACAAAGTTGATTAATTAAAGAATATATTCAATTAATTTATATCATTGCAACTTATAATCAATAAGGTCGTAAGGTTCATTTGCTAGCTCATAGTAACATTAAAATGATCAATTTAGTTGAAGGAAAATTTCAAAGAAGAAAAAGTATTTAACTTGATATTTAACATATTAGATAAATTAAATATAAAAAAATATATTTAGTTTGAAGGGTTTAAATTAGTATTTAATATATTAGGTATATTAAATAAAAAGGAAGAAAAATACATTTAATTTAATGTGTTCAAATAAGAAAAAAATATATTTATTGTTTTTGATATATTAAATAATAAAATAATCCATGTATATAGATATGGAATGAAAATATATACTTGAAATTTGAACGAGATTTAAATTAGTTAAATATGTATTGGAATATCTTATGACATTTAAATATGATTTGGGGAAGATATTATATCCTATTGTATTAGATATTCAAATATATTATTTGGTAAATATTCTCAAATCACTCTAGAGAAGACACTTGGGTTGAGCCAAAAAGTATCCCACCCTTTCTCCATTCGAGAATTCTCTCTAAAAATCTTCTTCTCTCGTCCTTGCGGATTTTCTTTCTTGAAGCTCCCACAAGCCTTGATTAAGTGTTCGATTCCTAGCAATAAATACTTTGTAGAGGAGATTCAACTATTGGAGAAGTTGGAGCAAGTAGATTAAAGATTTGCTAGAACTTTCTCCATATTTCTTTAATGTAGTTTGTTTAACATTTAGTTTTGTTTAATTCTAAGTAAGATCAAAGTCGATTCTAATATTTCTGCTGTGCTAGTTAAACGTTCATTTCCAACCGAGAGGTCAACAGGACCCTTACAAGTTTGACCCACTGACATTTAAAGGGAAGAACATAACTCCAACTCGTCGAATAAGAGAAAGATCTAAACACCGCATGCTTGTTATGCCTTTGTTCGAGGCTGGTGAAAATGAGACCAAGCAGACACTATCCCATGCGAGACTTGTGAAGGAGAAAATGTTGACAAGTGACCTACCATAACAACTTCCAATGAAGCCAAATAACTTGAGTGCATATTCTCATATGCACTGACCTCGATGGTTCAACTACAAAACACCCCACAAGTCCAAAAGTGTGATTTTGGGACAAAAGATATCACAAAGGCTTTATCGAAGCTACTCTGTTTTTTTAGAATACTATCGTTGTTGGCACCCAACATGCACTTGATCCACTGACCACAATGAAGGCTTGAGTGAACAACTTTTGCAAGGCCAGTGCTCTTATCTAGCACGAGTGGTGTCCAAAGTTGTTCTTCATTGTATTTGGAGAGGTAGACACCAAAGAGATTGATAAGGGTGCTAAAATTAGACTAGCTTTGGCATTCAAGCCATGATAGAACAATTTTACTTGCTATGGCGGGAAGAATTAAGGTAGAGTTTTCTGGTACATAGCCCCAAGTTGTTTGTTGAGACCTTGATGATATGTGTTGATCAGTCTTACCCGTTGTTTTGGATTGTAGAAATAAATGTTAAGACATGAATTGAGCTCCTCTGTTCAATAAAGACATGAATAATAGTTAGTTTGTCCTATCAGGCTAATTCAGACCAATGGAGGATCGTACATTGTGATTCAATGTCCTAGACATGTTTATTTCTATCCTAACAACCTCATCACACCATATCAAACATGTCCAAGTCAATTGGTACAAGTAATCTGGAAAAAAAAATCGAAATGACTATTTACATGCTTGAAAAAGTTCACTTGCTCTATTTTACCCATTCCTCAGGCTTAAATCTCCCTAAATATCATAATTAGGTCCTAATTCGTGTTAAAAAAGAAGAAAAGAGAAATTAGTAAGAAAAAGATTAAAAACAACATCTAAATGAGAAAAATATATTTATTGTTTTTGATATATTAAATATTAAAATAATCTAGGTATATAGATAATTGAATCAAAATATATGTTTGAAATTTGAACCGGATTTAAACTATTTAAATATATATTGGAATATCTTATGACATTTAAATATGATTTGGGAAGATATTATATCCTATTCTATTAGGTATTCAAATATATTATTTGGTAAATATTCTCAAATCCCTACAAATAAGACTCTTGGGTTGAGCCAAAAAGTATCCCACCCTTTCTCCATTCGAGAATTCTCTCTAAAAATTTTCTTCTCTCGTCCTTGCGAATTTTCTTTCGAGAAGCTCCCACAAGCCTTGACTTTGTGTTCGATTCCTAGCGATGAATACTTTGTAGAGGAGATTCAACATGGTGAAGTTGGAGCAAGTAGATTAATGATCTGATAAAACTTTCTCCATATTTCGTTAAAGATCAACAATGTGCCCCTCTTGATCACATTGATAACACCCTCATGTACCAGCCATGCAGCTTCCACGGTGCAATCTTCTACAGATCCTACACCTTACTTCTCTCATTCCTATAACCCCCTCTTGATTTCTGGAGTTTATGTCAGTTCGTCGGAGAAGGTACCTCTCATCCTGTCTTGAGGCAGGCCTATTGTTATAACGGGGCCTACGTTTCAGTGGTTGACGGTCTGAGTCCCCTGAATTATGTGGATACTTATGTTCAATTGTCTCGGGCTTCATCATAGGTCTTTGGGTCAATAGCTTCCACCGTGCAACGGATCTTTGGTTCTAGGCCCAGTACAAACTTTTCTATCATCTTTTGCTTTGTGTCCACTAAGGATGGTGAAAATCTCTTCAACCTCATGAATTCTCTGTCATATTTCTCTACGGTAAGTCCGCCCTATACCAGATGGGCGAACTCTTGCTGTCTCTTGAACCTTTCCGCCTTAGGATAGTATTGTTTAAGAAAAGCTTCCTTAAATCGTTCCCACTCCATTGCTCCTCCTTCTCGGTTTAGACTTTTCTTGTTATCCCTCCACCACACCTCTGCGTCCTTCTATTAGACGAATGTCGCGCAAGCAACCTTTTGTTTATATGGACACTACACTAATTCAAATATGGTTTCTACCGCTGAAATCCACATTTGAGCCTCTATTGGATCCTTTGAGGTACTGGTGAATGGTCGAGGGTCATATCTCTTGAAGTCCTTCAACCAATTTGCCCCTCTGGTAGGTTGCAGAGGGTTAGCCGAGACATTTGCCTGAGCATTGGCCTGTTGATTGGCTTGTTGAGTGACTATTAAGGTGTGGATTAGGGCTTGGAGTGAATCCCACATCAACCTAGTAGTAGCGTCATTCCAGCTGGGGGCATAGCCTCAGGTGTGGCTTGCGGTGGTGGTGGTGCTGCTGCTTGTGGTGGCAACACAAAGGGTTGGGGCGCAACTGGCAGCGACATAGCTGCGTTTGACCTAGTCTCTGATCCTTCTAGAGGTAGGCTCTCTTCAACCTAACGGTCCGGTGTGGCTATTTTTAAAATAGTGAGTGATAGAAGGAAACATGACAATATTTCATATGGTCTTGATCATTGGTTCATAATTTGAGATCCATATAGAGTCTCGTAGAAATTTTTTTGATCATCTCCCTATAGAAGTTATTTGCATGGGTCAACATCAAGATGAACTTATAAAAAAGATAGATTATTTTCAATTCTCGACCTACCGTACAATAATACTTATAGATTATATCCTTGACCAAATGAATGGTTACTCAAACAACGGTAGGAACAAAAACTATTCTAGTATAATATTTCATTGAGATTTTCTTTATTGAGCAAGAACACTTAACCTACCTATGACTGCTATAATGTAAAAGAAAATTTATTGGGTTTCGAATTTTGTCAAAGTTGTTGGACTATTATGGTAGAATTGGTGGAATAATTTATGTCTTTTCTAATGTTTTTATTATCCTTTAATCTCAATACAAACACTTAAAATCAAAATAAGGTTGGTCTATGCTAAACAACTAGAAGGTTCAACCACACCAGAAGCAATTCCATCGGCATTTTTACATGAAGCTTGAGCGATTTGATTCTCGTAAGTTAACTTTATGTCTTTCAAACTTAATCTAGTGCAATGATTTATTGGGCTACAATCAAAATTGATTGCTATTTCAGTGGCTGAAGTTCCTTTGATGTCTTCGTATGTTACGTCGCTAACTTTAACTCCAGAAGCCTGTTGACATAAAGAAGAATAATCAAAATATGCTATGAAAATTGATAAACAAGAACATTTTTACCTTGTAAATTTGTTTTACTTAGCCTAAAATTTTTAATTTCATGAAACATCAGGAAAACTATATTACCCGAAATATTATGAGTAAATTAAAAATTAAAAGCATAAAAGCTTATGATCAAATATCACACTGTTTTAAGATATGCAAGGGTAACCAACAAAGATAAAAGAAATCAATTACTTCTAAAATTTAAAATTTTAGTTCTATTTATAAAATTTAAATTAATATAATTTGTAACAAAATTAACATTTATGAGATTAATTAGGAAATATACCTGACCAGGACAATTTTTGTGATGTGGACAGTAATTTTCATCAATTATTATTGGGTTTTTCACATTATCCATAATAATACGTTGAAAATGAACTTTTGTAGCGAATCCATTGCTTGGTCTTCCCCAAGACTTAATCCTTACTCCATTCTGAGTCCTCGTTGAAAATGAACTTTTGTAGCGAATCCATTGCTTGGTCTTCCCCAAGACTTAATCCTTACTCCATTCTGAGTCCCCGTGAAAGTAGATGATATCACTGTAACATTATGCACTCCATCCTCCTCAGTTCTCTTCCCCAAACTCCCAATGCTACAAACACGATCAAACAAAATACAAAATTTTCAAACTATGCATATTTAACTAATTTAAAATATGTTTATCATCATCTATTTTTAGCTACCTGATTCCATGTCCAGGTCCACATGTAATATTTTCCATCCACAAGTTGGAAGTCCCTGGACCGATTGAGATGCAGTCGTCACCAGTGCCGATGTTCGAGTTGAGGATGGTCACATTTGATGATTGTTGCACATGGATGCCATCAGTGTTTGGACTATCGCCTGCAGACGAGACACTCACTCCAGTCATATGCACGTTTTGGCACCCATCCACTACAATGTTGAACATTTGACTGTTAATTGAAGATAAACCCCAGATATTTACATTTTTTGTATCGTTGATTTGAAGACTCTGTCGATTCAAAATAATCAAACACAAGAATTAGTGAAAATTTAAATTAATATAGTAACTAATCGATTCGATTTTCTTTTAAATTTTAGATAAAGAAAAAAAGTTCAAATTTTGTTCTCTATCTAGTCAACTCAAATTTTCCTTACCCGGGCTCCATTGGGGCAACTCTTCCCTGAGCGTTTACAATCCCATAAGGCAGTTCCTTGCCCATCAATAACACCGCCAACAATGGAAAGCCCATTTATGTGATTAAACTCAAGCCAAAATTTAGTTCTAGCTAGAACTTGAATGTTCGAGGAAGCCACAAGAGTTCCATCAATGAGAAGAGTAATAGCATTGTTTTTACAAGGTCCATTAAAGCTCACACTTCGAACATAGAATATTCCCTTGGGAACGTAAATAGTGGTAGGTTTAGATGAGTCACAGGCCTTAGCCCATGCTGTTTGAAGCACAGATGAGACATCGATCTTTCCGTCGGACTTGGCTCCTAGACTAACAATATTGAATGTGAATCCAACCGCCAAAGCATGGTTAAAAAACAAAAGTAAAAGAGAAAGAAAAACATGTAAGGATCTAAGAAGAGCCATCAAAAAAAAAATGATAAAGTATTTGTAAAGCGCCTTAGACAGAAAATGGAAGTAAGTGATGAGAAAATGAAAGAGTTTGTGGAATGATATTTATAGATGAATGCTTACCTTTCAACTCTCAACTATTTTTAATCTAAATGTATTTAAGTATATAATACACTAATTGTTATTTTAATTTTAATGATGGATGGTTGAATTTTTAATTAATTAAAAAAGATGGGAATATTTGAAGGAAAAAATCTAAATTTTTCCAACAGACTCTTTAATTTTATTAGTTTTGGTCAATTAAATACAATGTAACAATATCTATATCTGTTTCATTTGCCTTTATTGAGTTGCCTTCTTTGTGTTACTATAATAACTTTCCAACGTCTTACTATAATAAGATTAATAATTTCTTATTACTTTTAGTATTTATCTTTTTAGTATCAATTTTCTATTATAATAAAAATAACAAAATATTCTATAAGATAGTATCGAAAAAATACTATCATATATTTTTCGGTCTTTTTTAACATGCTGTAGATAGTGATGTAATAGAAAGTTGGTGTCTTTTAATGTGCAAAGATGTCACACAAAAAATGAGGCAAAATTGTGTGTTATATTTGTAACTATCCAATAAATTTACAAATGTATCACATAAAGAAATAATTTACAAAGTCTTAAAGTCTGTAACTAGATGCCATATATCTATCAGCAAAATTATTTATCATTAACAATTTTTTTTTACAACTCTTGAGGTAGATAAGGGTAGCGAATTGACAACTTTCATCATTTTTGTGTTTTATACTAGATAATATTTTAGTGTTTTTCTTCGGTCTCTGTCATGAAGGTTTGCATAGCTCTAGAGTCGACCATTGTGCTCTTGGTCGATCTATGGTTATCCTAGTCCTCAATGTACATAAGATCTCGTTCTATTTACTCTTTTCTCTCTCCCACTCTCTTTTAGAAAGCAAATAGGTACTTCAAGGCCTCCAATGTAGGGTTTTCGACGTTTTGGCTTGGAAGGCATGAAGATCCACCCTTTGACTGTAGTTGTTCTGGTTGTGAAGTCTTTGTCATGGATTTCTGTCTCTTTTTAAGGATACATAATCTCCTCCTCCTCCTCCTCCTCCTCGTGCTTCAAGTCTAACACCTCCCTTGTTGGAATTTATGCCCTAAATTGTTATAATTAATTATTTAATAATTCTTTTCTTTATAATTTACTTGGAAAATCCAAAGTGACACCACTCGAAATCTAGGTTCGAAACTAAAAAGACAAAAGTGAAAACAAATAAAAATAAAATAAGTAAATGCGGTAAAATTAAAATCAAATTAAGTTAAACCGTAACCCAATAAAATACAATTACAATAAGACACTTTTTAAATTTATTACAAAGGAGACAAAGGATTTTTGATAAAAAAAAAAAGAAATATAAAATACGGAAAAGGTTCCTGGGAGAGAAACTGAGGAATTTAAGGATAAGGGTCTGAAACAAGTCACTTGTATATCCCTAAACAAGTCATTTGAGGAACTTAAAGCCTTTGGAAAAGATTGAAAAAGTGACCAACTACCAAAATGCACCTCAACTTCAAGATAATTAAGAAAATGCCACAAATAAAATGGAAGTCGGTAGCTCACTAATCGGAGAGGATATTTCTAATGAGTTATTAAGAAAATTTAATCTCTAAATCACCACGATTCTGGAGGTTTCAACATCGGTTTAAACATCCCCTATAAAGTTTGAAGTTGTGGCACTAGTATGCAATAAGAATCGAGTTGAATCGAGCTCTCAATCTCAAGTAATAAGCGTTTAGATTTTTGGTCTTCTACTCTCAGATTTCTTTCAAATTTGAGAGTAATTGTCCACCATTTCTATTCAAACTTGTTCAAAAAGTTTCTAAACTTGGTTACCCACTAGTTCTATGAAGGAATCAAGCGCGGAAAGAGCCTATAATCTATTCCCCCAATAGAGGCCGCCATTAAAGAAGAAAATATAAAACTTAAAAATCCAATCCGAGGCTACATGTGGATTCATCAAGCAAGACCAATCCCATTCGTTTTCTGCACCTCCAAGGAGTAATTCCATAGACGACCACAAAGAGAAATAATCCAAATAACGTTTCTCATTGAGGGAAATTAGATTCGGGTAGAATTTGGGGGTAAGTATCGAATTTTCTCTTACCATCCATTTCTCTTCAAATTAAGTATTCCCTAAGCTTCAAAGGAATGAGTTTAGTAACTTTGATGAAGAAATCGAGAGCTAAAACATCCCAGGACGAGCTATCCAATAAAAGGAAGTTCTACTTTTTTGGCTGAGTTGCAGACTCAGGACGATTTCTAAAAATTAATGTCCCACGCTCAAAGATGTTCCTCCAAACCAATTCCTTGAGCTTGAGGTAGGGATAAGGAAGAGTTTCTATGAAGAAGTCGGACCCTAACAACCCTTAGAATCGACTACCAAATAAGAAATCCAATGATTTGAACTCCGGTGAGAAATCATATTTTTGACTTCATGACGAACTTTGGAGGCAAATATTTTAGGCTATGATGCACGAAAAGGTATGAAATGAATCCCTAGCTCGTCCTTGTAACACCATCCTTAAGTTTCACAAAGAAATTAAGGAAAGAAACGTTGTGAATCGAGCTGGGGAATCGAAGAAACAAGTGATGACGAGGTTGGTCACACACATCGTCATCCTATCTAGAGGAAGAAAACAATGATGTGGCTTGTTCAAAGACCAAATCGTGACCTTCCCTCGATCTTTCTTAATTTTAACCCTCTTCTACACTAGTTCTCATGAAATATTTTATGGTTCCAAAATTCAGGCACAATAAGGAATTTGTGGAAGAAAACTTGAGGTGATTCGAATACGAGAAGCTCGAGAACGGAGGTCGTGAATGTCAATGACGAGATAAGTAGCCATCTTAGACTATTCTTAGGAAATACTTGTAGGAATCGCTTGGATCTCAGTATAAACCTTAAACCAAATATGAAAGAAAAACACCAAGAACCGAGAGTTAAGGCCTTGAACTGATCAAATTGCTTGGGATGTATGTAACATTAAAATAACCTACTAAATGAACTCTGCTACCTATGAATTTTTAATACTGAGAATATTATGGTGTGTTAAGATTATAGAGGAAATTTGGAGAAGGATAAGAAGCTAAACCAAGTAACGATGTAAAATGATCATAATGCTCCTAAGGTAATTTACTTTGGTTCATGAAATAGACAACCTCCAAATGCTATGAAACTTTGTACTAACCTTATTTTATATTTTTTGATGATGTTGTGATGTTTGAAAGCCATTGGAATACATTAAGTAGCTAAACTAAGAATTATGGGTAAAATGACCAAAATGCTCCTCAGACTCCTTATGATATTTTAAGATTTAGATATGCTCCAAATGACTTGCTACTTCATAAGTCCTAATCCTAAAAACATGAAGGTATGTTCAAAATTTTAAGTTGATTAGAGTAAGTTTGGAACGTAAACCAAGTTAGGACCCAAGAAACACCTAAAGAAAACATATCAAGACTCAAGACTCTTCTAGAACCCTCTAAAGAATTTATTAAGACTCTATTACTTGCTAGAATAACTCCTGTCTTTTACTATGATGGATTCATAAGCTAAAGAATGCAAGATACAATTATGCCTCAAGAATAATAAGAAATACGTAAAAAAATGTTTATGATCGTGAACCCAAAGAAAGTGTCACAAAAACTCTACAACTACCAAGATAAGGTATCATACTCCATGCCCTAAAGTTTTTATGATATGAAAGAAGGCTAGGTATTAAATATCCTGATCATGTCCAATGTAGCTCATGACCTCCCACCACGTAATGCTCTTAGAGGCCCAAGTTTTCCTCTTTTAGGTGGGATGCCCTGTGTCACGGTCATGCTTGTCCAAGGCATGTCACCCATGGCCGCATGCCCGTTGTCACAATCGCACTTTTAATGGCAGCGGACTTGCTATTGTGCAGCACTCACTTTCCAATGACAAGTGAGCTAAGCCAATTCGTTCTTACGTCGCCTACGACCAAGCGATGTATGCTCGAGCCTCTGGCCTCGGTTTTAAGAGAATGTTTTAGAAAGCGAAGGCAGAGAGAGATTTTCGAAAGAGAGATTTTTGAAAGAGACGTTATATAAGCAAGCAAGAGAGAAATAACAACGGCTTACTGTATATAACCTTGGGTAGGGAGAAGTTGACAACTAGTCGTATCCCCCTATAGTACATTCTGAGGCATTTCATGTCTGACAGGCCTAGACATGATATTTCTGAAATGTCATACTTCCTAGAAATATAAAAGTAAAACACTAGAATATGAAAAGACATAAAGGGTTGGGCTTGCCATGGGCATGCGGCCATGGGCAACACGCCTTGGACGAGCATGACCTTGACATCCTCCCCCACCTAATTGGTTGACGTCCCTGTCAACCAACTACTTTCGAACCTGGCGATGTGGGTAGCGGCGGAGTCCAGATCTTTGGCGCGTTCCCAGCTGTTTCCTCCATAGGGAGATTCTTCCATTTGACAAGGAATTCGCGAATCGTCTGTACGGGTCTTCCTATCTTCCTAACCCTGTCGGCTAGGATCTCCTCTATTTCTTTGTTGTCTCTCTGTTTCAGATCGATGCTCGGTCTTGTAATTACATTTCGTTGGTCGTCGTCTGGGTCAAGGTGATAAGGCTTCAAGTTGCTCACATGAATTACTGGGTGGATTTTCATCCATGTGGGTAGTGCAACTCTGTAAGAGGTAGCCCCAATCTTTTTTAGGACTTCAACTGGGCCTTCATATTTTCGAACTAGGCGTTGGTCCTTTCGGCTGCAAAATCGGATCTGTTCTAGTCTCAACTTGATGAGGACTTAATCTCCTGCTCGAAATTGAAGGGGACGACGTTTCTTGTCCGCTCACTTCTTCATATGCTTGGAAGCTTTCTTTAAATATGCCCGGGCTATATCTTTTGTCTGCTTCCATTCACTTGTGAAGTTTTGAGCTTGAGGATTTTTTCCT